AATATAGTAGTTTTCTCAAGTGAGGTTACTTCGCAATTTTACATAATAATATACTTTTCCTAAATATATGTGAAGATATACTTTTTCTTGCATGGAGAACTAATATTTATTTATGGAGAAGTAACCAATCTTTTTGAAATTTACTTAGAAACTAGACTAAAAGCTATGTGCACACCCCTGGTAGATTCCAAGCTATTGGGTAGTATATGATCCTAGTAGTCAGGTTTCCTACTGACTAGCACTCAAACAATTTTGAAACTAGATCATAACCAATGTGATATACCCTCATGGGATTCCAAGTCCAATGAGTAGTAAATAGCCCAAGTGAGCAGTAGTCACTCTTACTAAACACTCACAACTTAATGGTTTCTCTAAAATTACATCATTTCTCCACAAATAGATACTCTTCTTCAAAAATAAAATTTCCTCCAAAATATATAATTTCTCCAAATATATGATTTCTCAAAATATATTTTTCTCCACATATAATTTCTCAAAAATAATTTTACATCATGATAATATGTACACTAAAATTTTCCAAGACAAGTATGTACACATAGGATTCGACACATCGAAGCCCATTGTTGATATTTCGAGAATCACCACACACAATAATGAAATTTATCGATAAATGCACGCGTACGTATAATGACCAATATTATAATTCACATAATATCACACATAACTTGTAGAAATAGTTTTGGAACATATCTACTATACTAATAAAAACCCAAGAGAGTTAGTCCTATAATGGGTAGAAAAAGTGGCTGTCAAATTTTTTAATCAAATGAATGGCTCAGATTGATCAAATTTTAATTTTTCCTTAAGATTTCCTAATTTATCCTTAATGAAAATGATTATTCGTTAACTTTTCTGTTAAATATTATCTTTTCCATTAATTTCTGTTAGTTCACCGTTAACTTACTCATTGATTTTAATAAGAAAAGTCTTAGGTTCAAACCCCATCCTAATCAAAGTTGGCATTATTAGTACTCTATTTTACTCTTATTAAATTAAATTAAAAATAATAATTTAGTGCTACAAAAGAAAATACATATGCATTTCTTTAATTTAGAATTATGTGTCTACAATGTCTTTATTCAAAAAAAAATTATTCATTATCAATAAATTAAATAGGAGAAATAATTTCATTAGTTATATTGTCTTTATTTTTCTCCAATATAAAAATTTTTTACATTAAAATTCATCAATTGATTATATTCGCTGCATTGTCCCTACAATGTCTTTATTTAAAAAAAAATATTAATTATCAATAAATTAATTAAGAGAAATAATTTTATTAGTTATATTGTCTTTATTTTTTTACAATGTAAAAATTCGTTACATTCAAATTCATCAATTGATTATATTCACTACATTGTCTATTATATTTTTTGTGCACTATTTTTTAATTAAATATTAAAATTATAATACAAAATAATGCTATATATTTATTTACAAGTATTTTATTAATACCATGTGTTGGTCCCAAAAGAGATAAGGTAAAAGTCTAGGGGAGAGGGGGGGGGGGGGGTAATAGACTTTTAAACTTTTTAGCACAGCACAACAATTGCTAAGTCAACAGAGAAACCAAGACTCTTAACTAGATTGTTAGAGCCTGGTGCACAGCGGAAATAATAAACAGTACGGTGTGTGTGTGAAGATTATTCTCGTGAGAAGCAAGCAAGAGCAGTAAGTAAAGAAAGTGGTAAAGAACACAAGGCAATTTATAGTGGTTCGGAGGTGGGGTAATCCTCCTACTCCACTTGCTCTTATCTCCAAGAGCAATTCACTATATCCACCACTTCTTGGTTCCAAGATACAATGAATTATGTGATCTAGTGCTTTGATCACCAAGCCCGCACTAATCACCCCCAGTGTCAACAACACTGCTGCCTCGGGTTTCACGTCGCCGCGCTACTTTCCCAGGATTTCACGACTCCGCATTACTTTCCCCCCGCCTTCTACGCTCCGGTAGAAACGCTCCTTCCGTGATCTAGTGCTTTGATCACAAAGCCTGCACTAATCACGCCCAATGCCTCCGACACTGCTGCTTCGGATCTCACAACCCCATGTGACAATTCAGGATTTCACAACTCCGTGTTACTTTCCCACTTTCTCTTGTTTTGCTCCAAAACAAGTTTGTCTTGCTTCCAACTTCGAGACTCTGTAGTTTATCTTCAATGATGCGCTTAGTCTCTTGTAGTTGATGAAGATTCTAAAACTCTTGGATATTTCTTTTGTAAGCTCTGTATCACTCTAAGTGTTTATCTCACTAAGAATATATCAATTTAAGCTCTTGAGATGGAAAGCTATTTTGATTTCGTATGCTCTGTTTAGCTCTGTTCTTTTTGTTTCTTGCCTCTTGCTTCTTGCTTCTTTGTATATTTGCTTCTTTCTTCTTTTTATATTTTCTTCTGCTTCCCACTGCTTCAATCTTCATCCTTTTATAGTTGGTAATGAGAAGCTGTCCGTTGGAAAGAAACGTTCTCATTTTTGAATTTCTTCTAGCTGTATAGCCTTTTCAAAGGATAAGATACCGTTACAGATATGTCAGAGATTCTCTGCAAGTTGAGCTTCAAGTTCTCGCAAAAATGGCGTCCCAAAAACTTCATCTGGTAGTTTGGACTAGTATTTTTGCTTCTGCAACTTCTTCTTGTATTTCCTCTGTACTTCACATCTGGGTTTGTTTACTGCTTCCAGACTTCATCTTCTTAATTGATTTTGATTTCCCTGGCAATTGAAATCTCATCCCTTACTTGATTTGGACTTGCAACTTCATCCCTTGCTATTTATATCTCAAACTTAATTGATTTCCTTGGCAATTGAAATCTTATCTCTTACTTGATTTGGACTTGCAACTTCATCCCTTGCTATTTATATCTCAAATTGAATTGAAGCACTTTGCAAATTTCATCCCATCTAATTGAACTTTTATTAAGATCTTGGTTTTCTCTATTTGCATCTACCTTAATACTATACTTAAATTTTTATGATTTTTCTATAGTTGTATTTTTTCCTGTTGTCCTACTCAAAATTTCAGATATTACAAGGGAAACATTGCATACAGTACAACTTTAACACAATCAAAAGGCAGGGGCAGTTTCAGCAATTAAATATATCGAAGACATTATAAATCAGCGGCATGCATGGATCACTTAGTCTGCTGAAGAACTAACAAACATTATTCATGTACCTTTTCTATGCATATTTAAAATGTAGTTATGCTTTTATAAACTTTTTTATATAAATAAATTTAATATTAGTCAATTTTTTAAGATTGTACAATGTATATGGTAAAACTGTATATCGCAAATAATTACACCAACACATTTTTCATTATAACTTAACACTAAATAAGACAGAAAAAAAAAAAAAACGCACGGCAACAGAAATAGATATTCTTAATCTGCCCAAAAAAAAAAAAAAAAAAAAAAAACAATACAACAAAATTAGATATTCTGAAACTTCCCCACAAAACCAAAAGATAAAAAAATGTCAAAAAAAATAAGGCAACATAAATAGGCATTCTTAATCTACACACCAATAAAAATAAAAATAAAAGTTTAAAAAAAAAAAAAACTGACAAAAAAAAAAAATACAAGGCAACAGAAACAGATTTTTTTTTTTCAAATTTGAAGGTGAACGAGATATTCTTAATGCTCATCATTTGCCAAAAAAAAAAAAACAAAAACAAAAACAAACAAACAAACAAAAAAAACAAAAAAAAACACAAATAATCCTTATCATTTGCAAATCAATTAACAATCCTATAATTTTGTTGGATCACAAATCCGAGGCTAAAAATATTGACTTGCTTTAGAATTTAGTTTAAAAAAATTATGTAATAATAAATACACATGGAAAAGATATAATAAAACCAAGTGCTAATTTTATGTGATATGCATATTTAAACAGACAAATCATTATATAACCAATAACTAAATTAAATCAATGTTGGCATCAGAATTTAGTTCTCATCATCTGCCACAATATCATACATAATAAAATATTAGTAATTGATAGTATTGTACATGCACAACCTTATATATATTTAGCCACACAAAGATATATTCTTTTTATGCAAATCACGTTTATTGAGAAGTAATAAACGAATAGAAAAAAAAATATACTTATCTTTTTCTGATATGTCACATTTGTTGATACTCTCATTGAAGAAGATGGTGTAGCTCCGTTCTGGACACGGTACTTTGCATAATCTGTCCATTAAAGTACTTATCTGCCCTCGGTCAACCGATCTTTTAGTTCGACTTCTAGACAGCAAATGAAATCCAAAATGGCCAAAAGCAAAAGAAAGCGACTGTGTGAAGGATTAAAATCGAAGGAACATATAGGCAGCTTTTTTTAGCCGTGTATTTCTTGGACATGAGAAGGATTAACTGTGTCAATTTTGTCGTAACGACAAGTAGCCGGAAACAGAGAAGTTTTGTCTATAGCGGTGAAGATGTTAGGCCGTCTCCAAAGGAGCGCCATAATCTACACCAACGCCATTTTAGCGCCCAATTTGGCACTGAACCTTCTCCAATGAAGCGCCAAATTGGGCGCCATTTTGGCGATTAGCTTTTACCCCAAAATGGTGTAAATTATTTTATTCTAATTTTGCCCCCTGTCTTTTTTATTAATTCCTTTTGTATCCCTATATTTTGTTTTTATAGATTTACATATTTTGTTAAATACATAAACATAAAATTTGAATAATTAAAAATAAATTATATCATTTGAAATATCGCATCAAGACGATTAAAACAAGCCTAATATTATATATAGATTAATTAAAAACTAAACTACATGAAACATAATTTTCATAATATTAAACGGAATACATCCGAAATTAAACAAAACATACTTAGAATTAATAGTCCCCAAGACCACCTTCATTCCCTCCCAGATTATCAAAATATTGATTAAATTGACTACTTGATTCAACCCCTCCTCCATGTGTTTGCTCATTAACTCTCTTTGCAACAATTTGTAGTTGCTCATTCCTTAATCCTTATAGACTCACGCACCATCGAATCTGTGATTGAATCTAAATTTATGCGTAAGATTTTGTTCTCTTCTCGACGCTCTCTCTTCTCTTCTCGATGCTCTCTGTTTGCTTCCTGTCGTTCTGCCAACACTACTTTCTTTGCTTCAGTCTGAGCTTTTAACAACTAAACCTCATAATTTTTTTCAAGTATATCTTGATGATGTTGGAACATTTTTTTTTTTGATTTGTTCATTTAGTCTGGATAGATTTTAAAAATTTTTTACTTTCTTCATTCAGTTGTTTCTTCTTTTTTTCCTTGTTCCTTCCCGTAGGACGCTCGCTTGCATTGTTGTTTTCGTTAACCTGGTTTGCAGTTTCAAAATTGTCATTCAAATCAACACAAAAAGATGATGAGCTTATTGACTTATCTGCTATATCATGCAGTGATTGTGATCCTTGAAAGTAGGTATTTTGCTTTCTACTACCAAAACTTGCGTCTCTACTAGGAGTAGAGCTAAATTTGTCGAGATCCTTAAGGATAGGCCATATGTGATCAAATCTAAACCCCTTTGGATATTTGGCATCTTGTGACATTGAATCTTTTGCTTTATCTAGCTGTTATAAATCATAAATATAAGCAAGTAAATAACAAATATGTGTAAAGTACTCACAATTTCAGCAAATTACTAATAAAACATTTATAAAGTACTCACAATATCTTGTTCAGATGGTCCGCTCGGGTTCGTGTTTTCAATTTGGCGGATGCATCCTCTTAATTTTGAAACAGCTGTCAATATATTTTGCATTCGAGTTTGAAGAGATTGCCAAGATCGAATATTACCATTATTCGCTAGTAGCATTTGCTGGTATTCAATCCCAATACGAGTCCAAAAAGCTTGTTGTACCTGATTCTTACCAACTTGAGGATCTTGGCCAATATCACAATACACACGACATAGTAGTTGATCTTCCTCGATTGAATATGATGTAGTTCGGGTTGTGCGTGAGCTCGACATTTTGCAAAAAGAATGGAGGAGTGTTTGAGAGGGGTTTGAGAATCCAGAGAGTGGTTGTTTTACTTTGGCAATCCAAGTGTAGTATTTATAGTTGAAAACACTTCTGATAAAGGTTGTGATAAGATTTTATAGCTTTTGCTGGATTCCGTGTTGGAAAGATTTGCATACCAATGAATGGTTAAGATTGTTGAGATTCAATCCAACGGTTGAAAACACTTCTGATAAAGTTTGTGATAAGATTTCATATTTTTTGTTGGATTCCGTGTTGGAAAGATTTGCTTACCAATGAATGGTTAAGATTGTTGAGATTTAATTCAACGATTGAAAACACTTTTGATAAAGTTTGTGATAAGATTGCATATCTTTTGTTGGACTCCGTGTTGGAAAAATTTGCATACCAATGAACGGTTAAGATTGTTGAGATTTAATCCAACGGTTGAAAACACTTCTGATAAAGTTTGTGATAAGATTTCATATCTTTTGTTGGATTCCGTGTTGGAAAGATTTGCATACAAATGAATGATTAAGATTGTTGAGATTTAATCCAACAGTTGAAAATAATTCTAATAAAGTTTGTGATAAGATTTCATATCTTATTATAAATACTAGTACATCACATACAAAGTTATCATTCATCTCTTCATCATATCAATATTCAATTATGAATTCCAACAATGGTAAACGCCCTATACCATTTTCTTCTTCATCCTCACCTTCACCCTCACCCTTATCCCAACAATCAGGGGATGATCTTGATCTCAATACTCTAATACAATTACAAGAGCAAGCATTACTAAATGTATATGCTAACGACAACGATGTCATGGCTTACTATATGGAAACTATGGCAAATCAAGCTAGCAACTCAAGGTACGGTGGTTTGGTTCCTGGCCATAGAGTGATTCATCGTGATCGTGTAGATGGTGATCGAAGATTATGGGCTGATTATTTTTCAGAAAATCCAAAATATAATGAAACAATGTTTCGTAGACGATTTCGATTGAGTCGAAATTTGTTTTTACGAATTGCCAACGCCGTTGAAGATCATGACAACTACTTTGTGCAACGAAGAGATACAATTGGAAGGCTAGGCTTGTCTACTTTACAAAAAGTAACAGCAGCCTTTCAAATTATTGCTTATGGAGTACCAGCGAATGCAACAGATGAATACATTCAAATTGGAGAATCAGCTGCAATTGAAAGTGTGAAGAGATTCTGCCAAGCAATTGTAGAGGTTTTCGGGGGGCGCTATCTAAGAGAACCTGATGCTAATGACGTTGCAAGGATGCTTTAAATTGGCGAGAGTCGTGGTTTTCCAGGGATGCTTGGGAGTTTAGATTGTATGCACTGGACTTGGAAAAATTGTCCAACAGCTTGGGTAAGACAATATTCTGAGCGTAGTCGAGAACCAACTATTATTCTTGAGGCTGTAACTGATTATGATTTCTGGATATGGCATGCGCATTTGGGTTTACCAGGGTCAAATAATGACATTAATGTGTTGGAGGCATCTCATTTGTTTGCAAACCTTGCAAATGGTATAGCACCTCCAGCTCATTATGTTATTCAAGGAGAACAGTACCATACAGGATATTATTTAGCTGATAGTATATACCCAAAATTGTCAACCTTGGTACAAACTATTCATGAACCTCGAGGGCTAAAGAAAAAGTTATTTGCAACAATGAAAGAAGCATGTAGAAAAGATGTCGAACGCGCATTTGGGGTCCAATAGTCACGATTTGCAATAGTCAAGGGACCGGCACGTTTTTGGGATAAACATGTATTACATGATATAATGACATCTTGCATCATAATGCACAATATGATAATTGAAGATGAACGTGGTGAGCAAGCGGCTATACAAAGTTGGAGAGAAGCGTCGGCTATTGAAGTTGACATACGTAGAGATGAAGCTACTCTATTTCAAGAATTTCTTGCTCGACATAAACAAATAAAAGATAGAGAAGCGCATTATGCACTTCGCAATGCATTAATTGAGCATTTATGAGAACGATATGGTAATTTTGAAACTTAAATGTAATAGTTGTTATATGTTATATTATTGTGGAATAAAAATATTATTTGCATTACAATTAAATATTAAAAAATTAAAGTTTTAATTTATGAGAAAACAAATTATTTTGTGTGGAAATAAATTTGGTGTAATGGATTGGAGATGAATAAAATTTGGTGTAAGAATATTCTGAAAATATTCCTTTTGGTGTAAAATTTGAAACATAATTTGGTGTAATGGGTTGGAGATGGCTTTAGAGAGAAGAAGGAAGCCCCTACGTCAAGTTAGGAATAGGTTAGGTTTTTATGTTTCAGACGGTAATTTATATCATGCACCACGGCGCGCGTTGCATTGTGCGTCCAGATGCAAAACGACGTCGTTTTCATTTTTTTTTTTCTTTGAAATTTCGCTACCCAGTGTTTGGTAGTTAATTTTCCTTAAAAAAAATCTCATGTTCAAAAATGTACATAATGTTATACTAGAATACACATAATTGTATATATGAATGTACATAATTATATAACAAAATACACATACTCTTTTTTAAAAGATAATACACATAATCTAACATAATACATAATAAACATAATACACATCAACTCTTAACATAATACATAAAAATTTCCTGATTCGCATGTACATAATTGTATAAACAAAATATACATAATTGTATAAAAAATGTATATAATAAAAAATATACATACTTATATAAACAAATATATATAATCATGTCAACTTCCTACCGGGCCTCCAAAACAACGTCGTTTTGGGAGGCGCGGAGCGCACAATGCACTGTGCGCCGTGGTGCAGAGTATAACGATTGGTTTCAGACTTTCAGAGTTTCAGGTGCACCACACGGATTTATGGGCTTAGGTTTTGGGCTGAAACGTTAGTGGGTTATATTGTTATATATTTAGTGTTGTTCTGGGCTTAGCATTCTAGAATTTTTATTTTGTTTCACGAAATTAGGCAAATTATGCCCTAGACCTGTGTCCACAATGCATTGTGGACACGAGTCCAAAACGACGTTGTTTTCAGAAAAAACTCGTCATTTCAGTTAAAAAAAAATTGATTTTATCTCGCCGTTAACGGCGTTATTCATTTGTACCATTATGAATGTACAGTTATGGAATTATGAATGTAAGTTATAAAATTATGAACACAGAGCTCTGACATTATGAACTTACGATTATGAACATATAGTGATAAAATTATGAACATAGAGCTCTAAAATTGTGAACATGGAACTTCGAAAATTATGATTTTACAGTTATTGAATTATGAATGTACAGTTACGGAATTATGAATGTACAGTTATGCAATTATGAATGTACAATTATGGAATTATGAACACAGAGCTCTGACATTATGAACTTACAATATGAACATTATAGTGATAAAATTATGAACATAGAGCTCTAAAATTGTGAACATAGAGCTTCGAAAATTATGAAGTTACAGTTATTGAATTATGAATGTATAGTTACGGAATTATGAATATACAATTATGGAAATATGAATGTACAGTTATTGAATTATGAACATAGAGCTCTGGCATTATGAACTTACAATTATGAACATATAATAATAAAATTATGAACATATACTCCTATAACGAAGCGGTCTGAAATTAAATTAAAAAAAAAAAAAAAGTCAAAGATAACAGTGCCACTAACGGCACTGTTACCCACGTCCAGCATGCATGCTGGACACGGGTCCATAGCATAACGATTGACGAAATTAACTACCATATAATTAGATTACATTTATATACATTGTTAGTATTATAGTTTTAATTATTAAATGTTCAAGAAAATATTTTTTTAAGTTAATTTTATTTTGTGATATCAATTGTTTTTATTTATGTATGATCAGGAATATGTGTTATACTTTTTTTAAAAAAATTTATTATACTATTTAAATGTTTAGAAACATACGTATACACTTTTGCATTCATTGTTGGAAAAATTTAATACGTTAGATTTTTGGAGTTGCTCTACTCTTTTTACTGGGTTATTAATATTTAAACTCATTATTTGTGATGCACAATTATAAACAGACGAAAATAATTATGTCCATAAAATCAAGTCAAAGCGTTTAATATCATGAACCGAAACAAATTCACTACATACACCAATGAGTTGCCTAACTCAAGGTATTGAAATTATTATTTTTGCTTATTAATTCGCTTTTTATCTACTATCTATCTACTATATACTATCTACTATATATATATATATATACTAATAAGAGCCCAAGAGAGTTAGGCCTATAATGGGTAGAAAAAATGGCGGTCAAATCTACTATACTAATAAGCGCCCAAGAGAGTTAGGCCTATAATGGGTAGAAAAAAAGGCGGTCAAATTTTTTAATCAAATGAATGACTCAGATTGATCAGATTTTAATTTTACCTTAAGATTTCCTAATTTATCCTTAATTAATATGATTATCCGTTAACATTTCCGTTAAATATTATCTTTTCCGTTAATTTCTGTTAGTCCACCGTTAACTTACTCATTGATTTCTATAAGAAAGGTTTTAGGTTCGAATCTCATCCCAATCAAAGTTGACATAATTAGTATTCTATTTTACTCTTATTAAATTAATAAATAATAATTTAGTAGCTACAACAAAAAATAATACATATGCATTTTTTTACTTTAGAATTATGTGTCTACAATGTCTTTATTCAAAAAAAAAAATTTATTCATTATCAATAAATTTAATAAGAGAAATAATTTCATTAGTTATATTATATTTATTTTTCTCCAACATAAAAATTCTTTACATTCAAGTTCACCAATTGATTATATTCGCTACATTGTCCCTACAATGTCTTTATTAAAAAAATTATTCATTATCAATAAATTAATTAAGAGAAATAATTTTAATAGTTATATTGTTTTTATATTTCTCCAATGTAAAAATTATTTACATTCAAAGTAGTGGTAGTGGTAGTGGTAGTCGTAGTGGTAGTAGTAGT